GTCCGCATGTCCCGTGGGGTAAGCACCAAATGTTTACGGACTTAAGCTTTAAACACTCATGCGAAATAAATGTTGCCATGACCCTCAGTCTAGACTCGCACGGCGAGAGCAAATTCTGGATCACCCCATATTGCTTTTGCTCGCCAAATAAGCGAATTTCACAGGTATTTCTTTAGTATATACCCGGATAGTATATGGCTTAAAAGTAACATAAATGTGATGTACTCTTAAGCTCTGCATTTTGACTTTGTTATGGCCTCGCACACGTTGCTTGTTACCTACTTATATCATCCATGGGATTGTTTTACTCTAAGTAGCCTTGCAGTCCATTTCAGAGAATAATAAAATGCACTAGAAAGAACTGTTTTGCCTAAAATCCATTTAGTTTTAGCATTCAAAGCGCCAAAGAATAGCTTACCCATATACAAAAGATTGTATGTTGGCTTAGCTGAGTCGTGTGCCAATTAGTCAAAATATGAGAGTTTCTTTCCTTCAAAGGTTGTCATAATTGCACTACTTCAATTAATTGTCTTGTACATCGTCAATTGGACTAACAACTGAATGACCTCTGGTCCTGACTATTTATCGAAATAGTGCACATACTATGAATTCACGTTCAAAATGCCAAGCTATACCTACAAAACATTAAACAACAAGCCAACATTTTCGGTTAACAAAGTTTTCGGGCACGCAATAAGTTCTTGGGCAGCATCTGTTGACGTTCCCAACCATTTTCCCCGCAGTTTATGCCTGCACTGCTCCACAGCATAGAAACAGTCAAAAAGCCGAAAACAGAACGTCTGCTCGATTGACTTCTGCAAAAGATGACTTAAGGACTTTTAAGGGGCGATTCTCATTCGACATGTTTCGGGTATGGAGTCTGTTCATTGTCCTCAAGGTACTGAGGAGAAAAGTATTCCTCAATTGTATTTTACTAAAGCACATTGTTGCCAAGCCACAGACAATGGAAAAATGGCAATTGAAATGAAAGAATAGCATACACTCATTAGCAAAATATGAATTGAAGTAAGAATACTCTAGTTAAGACAGCTTTCGAGTACATTAGCAGGGTGGATGGACAGGATCCAAAATGGAAACATAACATGCTTAGGGACGTGCATGCAGCTATTCAAAGACCCAAACCCATTATAAATAAGCAAACAGGTATATTATTTTGAGTAATTGTAAGTGTTAGTAACTGGCAGAAGGATGCATCTCCGACTCCATAAATAATATATATTCTTAATCAGGACGACGAGCGTGCGTTTGTTAAACACGTCGATAATCATAACTACAATATCTAGAGACTTGAAGTCTCTTATATAAATTCTTTTCTATGCCATATGTGCCCATTATAATAAATTCGATTAAAGCCGATTTTAAGATTTTTGAAATTGTAAACGTAGATACCATATATTATGTACCATATAATTGAGCCTTAAGTCGGCTCTACAATAAATTATAATCGAGAATTTCTGTCATTACCACACGCTAGATTTAGTTTTCGGAAAAAGTCAGTTGTGTGATTTCTAAAATAAACGCATTATCAAATCTCAAAGCACAAATATTCATTTTAAAATGCCTAGTAATAATTAATAATTATGGTGTATAATATAAACTAAAGGGAATGTGAATCAACGTACTTATAGTTTGCAATCATGTAATCCTAATTATAAAATATTTATTAAAATAGTTTGGGTTACACTTTGGCACATTTATCCGGAAGTATTATTTACACCCATTGACGCTTAAATAAGTACGGTACTAGACAAACGTTTCGTTTTATTATCAATCCTATTAATGCGTATTTGTTTGGTAAATGAAATTATTCACTTTAATTTACATTTGTTTCACTTTCAGTGTATAACAAACATTTAATATTAATGTGCATCTATATTGATATTTCTTGGCAATAAGAGCAGATAATAAATACTTTCAACTTTTGCAATAATGACAATAGGGCCTAAATGTACACACGCACACACACACATACTTTGTGTATTTAGTAGGAAATCAATGTGAATAAAGCCGTGTCTGTAGTCGAATTGTGTTCTCTGCTTGTTAACGTAAGTCACAAAAGCATTCGATCAAATTTTCGACACAATTTCCAATGTTGATGGTTTACGACTGCTTTTTTTCTTTTCTTTTCTGGATGTCATCTGCCTCGCTTTATTATATTTAATTGCTCATACGCACTGACGTACGTTTTACTTTTCCTTTTGCTGTGTTGGCCCTCTGTAGCTCGATGGTATATGCCCAAAATTGCTGACAATGGAGCCGTACCTCGTTTCGCTTCGCTTCGTTGTTAAGTTTAGCTCCCGAGCCAGAGACAGATGCGATGGACGCTCTCTCATGCATTGCTCCATGTTGGTTTTTGCTCTCTACCATCTGGCAACTAGCCAATGAACATGAGTGCGTAATATGTGTATGTGCGTGGATTGTGTGTGTGTGTGTGTGTAAACGTATGAGTTTAAGTATTTCCCCCTGTTGTTTGCTTTAATTACGACTGCTTCTTCACTCGGCTACAGTTCATAGTCTGAATTATATGTTTGATAAATTGCTGCTGCCGCAAATCATCGTCAACGCTATGGCATGGAATCGTTATTTTCGTATCAACGCTCCATATTTCTATTTTCCAGTTCCTTTGTGTTTTTGTTTTTTATTGCTTTTTTCTGTAGCGCATTTTATGGAATTATCAGTTTGAGCTTGGAAGCTGCAATCCTTTTAAAGTTGATTACAAAGTAAGAATAATTAAGTTCAGAGTGATTGATTAGATAATACCCTGTTATCACAATATACTTTCTGAATCCTAACAAGCACAAAGGGAGGGACATATGTGTGCCAGACAACAATGAGATTGATTCTATGCAATCATCAAAATCATACTATTAATAATTGAACAATTAAAATTAATACTCATATTGCATTAAGTTTAATAAGCAAAAGAAGTGGTCATTATAATGAATGTATTTGCCTTCATATGTTTCATTGTGTTAAGTTATATGAAGCGTACAAAGCTAAATTCCAGACGAGTTTTGAATATTGTTAAATTTATAATCAAGCGTAAATAGAGCGAGCGCTTGCTCTGGGCGCCGTGCCAAGGTTGAGTCATTGGTGAATTTATTAAATATTCTCATTGTTTCAACGGTTGCTTCAAGTAAATTAATATGGCTTTAATGGAGAACACGCGTAAATATCTAAACGTTGCTAGCCAGACGTCGTCCTAGCAATGGCGCATCCAGCGAAGGTCCTTTAATTGCCACAGCGCATAGTCATTTTCATCCACTTACCCACAAGACTGGCTCAGCAATAAAGAAATTTCTCTTCCTACAAATTATGTAAGGTGATGAAAGTAGCGCAACTGGCGACCAGGAACACGCGTTCATGGAATAGTTACTTCTATTGGCATGTCAGCAGCTCAGCACCAGTGGCTATATGTACTCCTAAGGTGTGTGTGTGTGTGTGGGTGTGTGTAGAAGTGAGTGTAGTTGGCTACAAACTGGCCACGAATAGAGCGCCACTTCTGGGTGCTTGGCAATGAATTAATTATGTTGAGCTTGGCCACGCTTGTTTAAAGTTAATTGCTGTTTTAAAATGGATGGAACACTTTTCCAGTTCGCAATGGAGTAAAAATATTATTTTGGGTGAGTGGATATATTTTGTGTAGGTGCTGGCAGGTCTAACCACGTTGCAACACTGACAGTATGCAGAAGATAATTTAAGAAAATTCTTTCAAAAATATTTAATACGTGCTTCGTAATTTGGGTCAGGTGAAACAGTACAAGACACTAGCTATTTGCTGTTGCGACTATAAATGCTGCTGCCTTTAACAATATGATAGCCCGACTTAACAAATAGCTTGGCTTATTGACAATATGCCATCATGTTGATACTTCTTAGAGCTAAGTATCTATGTGTTGGCAATTTATAAGCCTTCTGTCAAGCTCAACATTTCTGAAAATGTATTGACCAAATTTGATCAAGGGATGAACCTTACAGTTAAAGTGATGATATTCAATTTGGGCATCCCACCAAATTCGTTCCCCTGTCGCCAGGCAAACATCAAAAAGGAGGCGGCCAGGGAGAGTAGCTCACCTGCGCCTTACTAAGGCTGCTGGGAGCTGAGCCATTATCCTCTAATAAATATTGATTTCGAGGTAATAAAAGAACATGACAGAAGCTAACAGCATCCTCGATGGCATTAACGGCCCTGTCGTTCATCGGTCACAGCAAGCTCCCTGGCGCTGCTCCACGCTCCCGAGGTGCGAATACAATATCTACTGTAATTTATGGATTAAACAGACGTTCGTTTGTACGCTCAATACACACTTAAGAGAGAGAAGAAAATGTATATATATATACATATATATACATATATATATATATGTATACATGTATATATATGTATATATGTATATTTTTATATATACATAGATTTATAAAATAAATCGATTTAAATTATTTGCAACAAAGCTTGAAATTATTCAAAATTAAATGTAACTCCCATGTTCAAATTATGTAAATTTGTTCTCATTTTTAGCTCACAGTTCACCTTTTAGCTGTTGTCCTTCGTGTTGCTATTCATTTTTTTTAACAAGGATTCAGGAGTGAAACCGGTGAGGATTTCGTGCAGATGTGTTAGAATGTTGCGACGCTGAGTAACGCCGTCTCATGGAGATAAATATGGAAATGTCATGTTTACAAGTTCTGGCAATAAAAGCCACCCATGGAGCTTATAAAATGCAAATGATTCCCTCTAAATTTCCTTCATTCTTAATGCCACTCACAGATTCTAGCTAAGAGCACAAATTTACCAAAAGAGAAAATTTCCTTGCCGGAACTTTAGCCGGCAATTTCGTGTGTACCGTCAGCTAGTCATACTCACACATATGACAAACTTAAACTAGCTGAATACTTAGCCCGAACATGTAAGTTTACAGAAAAAAACAAATAAATAAATTAGTTAAAACTTAAGTAAGCTCGTTTTTAGGTAAGTTATATGAATATATATGCATACATATAATAATATTATTTATAATATTGAAAACATATATTAAAATTTATTGTTGTATGTAGAGTGTATGGCTAGGAGTTTAGTACATATCAACAGCCGTAAATTTGAAGAACGTTACTCCTGATGGATTGATTCGGGTTATAAATGTATCTTTCGGCTTGAACAATCCAAGATCTTCAATAGAATCAAATAAATCCTGAAATATGTGCGTAAACAATATTTATATCTAAAACTGTAATATATATTTCATAATAGGTGATGATATACTTACAATGACCTTATAACCCAAATCATTTTTAAGTCCCAAGCGTTCCAAAACAACTTCATGTGTTTGGGGGCACAGTGGGCAGGGCTCATAATTTCCAATGTTAACGAAAGCCACAGCATATGAGTGTGCGCCCATGTTATTAAACGGCATAACAGGGCGCACCCATATCTAATTCGCCGACATAATAAAAGTTAGGAACTTAAATGAAAATCTTTGAACACTAACCTGAAAGCTACCTGCTATATATACGCAACGACCAGGTATGCCGAGTGGATCCTGATCGACCTCAATAATAGCCCTGCAAAATGTGTATGAACCTTTTGTCAAAAAGATAAAAAAAAATAAGAAAAATACGTACCGATTTTGTAATAATGTTTTGATTTCAGGTCGCACTGTCTGTAAGTCATTCGTCATAATAAGCGGAGCCGCGAGTATAGCCCATATGGCTAATTGCAGACGACTTGCGTCATAGCTAAGTCGATAGTTTCCGAGCACGAGCTGATTTATCCTCCAATAGATTATTATACTGTACTAACTAGCTCAATGAAATATTGTAATACGCACCATATCTGGGTCATTCCAATGTCCGGGACCAGCATGTTTTGTTAGATTATTCTGCTGCTTGTAATAATTGTACATGGTCTTGCCCACAGAATCGAATGAATCTCTAATATCATCAGCGAACCTCCACAGATTACAGTGTTTTTTGATCAATTCGTAGTTAGGCTGAAATATGGAGTTTTGCATAACGACATTTCATAAAGAAAGACACAACTAACGTGTTTTTGATAGTATGGCCAGCTGCAAGAGTAGACCATTGGCCGGCCCGTCTTATTCAATTCCCGGCCAAAGGCTGGGTAGGCAATGTCCAGGTTAATGTTCTTTATAAAGCACCCATCCAACTTTACATAGTCCACGTTCCAGATCGCGAAGGTTTTAGCATCTAATGCGTAGTATCCTTTCGCACCGGGCCCAAAATGCATGCACGTTCTCTCCCCGATATCGTGGTATAGGCCAAACTTTAGACCTTTATTATGTATCTGAAAGGTCGATAAAAGTATTATATGAAACCACTGTCTAATTTTTGGCTTACGTAATCTGACAGAAAGTAAAGACCCCTGGGAAAACGTTCTCGATCGGGCATCAACTCCTTTGTGATTTCGTGGCGCTGTCTTTCCATCCAGCAATCGTCAATTATTAAATATTCATAGCCAACCGCCGAGTATCCTTCCGACACCAAGAGGTCAGCAGTACGCATAAAGAGCGACTCACTGTACACGGAGAATATGACCAAAAAGTTGACAGCCTTATCCGTAAGCTTTGCAATTTCACCTGATGCAATCCCTCGGGAACTTTACGCAATCAGTCACACAGCGGAACCGCTCGAACGGCATCCAGCCCATTGGTGGCGTTCTGGCCAAGCCATTCTCAAGTCCAACAACGCTGCACAACCAAAGAAAACGCGCAACCAGCGCCAGCCGCATCGAGTAGCAATCTTCTCTTGACATGTTAAGTAGGTTTGCAATATGGCTTGACTGTAAGCGATTGCAGAACTTCAGTTACGCCCCCACAACTAATTTGAATTTCTTGCATGTATTCATTAAATATTCCGTAACAAATTTTATGGCGTAAATGTTTTTTATTGGTATTATTTTTATTTTTTTCTGTCTAATAGCTTGCTTTGGTTTATTTAACACATGCTGGCAATATTCAAGAAATTTAAGCTCTACAAATGAACAAAAGAGTTAACAAACACCTCATTTTTACTTTTCGCTCGAATAATTTATTTAATTAGAGCAAACTGTTATAGATGTCTTATAAAAAGCCCTGTCACAGAATTTCCTGCAAACTCTATTACTGTCAATAAAAAGATGTAGTTGCTTAAGTAAATAGCTCGTAGCACACCGAACCCCTCCTAAGAAAGCGAGAAAACACTAGGCTCGAGCTCTGGGCAGGGTAAGTCACTCTATAGTTTACTTTGGAGCGCGCCCGTGGGCTTCAAAGTTTTGAGTGCAGCGCTTGGAATAATTTAACAGGCAGGAGCCATTTTAAGGTGCTACGCGCTACGTGTCCTCTTAAGATCTCTTCGCTCTTTAGCGACGTTTTAGTGTATGCTCATAATTTAGAAGTGTTGAACACAGTTTTACGTAAAACCCAAAGAGCACTTGACTGATGAGTTTTATAAATTAGGAACTTCAAAGAAGCCGGAAAGGAGTCTGAGCCAGCAGAGGTAAGTGTAAAGGCTTAAAGGTAATATTAATGAAAACATGTAAGAGGCTCTAGTTGGGACTTCCCGACTAGGGGATACACCCAACCCTTTTACTTACACCAATTGCAGCTCGAGCTACGTGCTTTAGCAGTAACGCAAATAGCTAAAAAGAATCTGAATATACTATTCAAGAAGATACATTTGGTGATTCTAGCTCTTAAAAATTAAAATTCTTGCGTTCATACATACGGACGGACGGACAGACGGACAGTCAGACGGACATGGCTAGATCGACTCGGCTTGTAATGCTGATCAAGAATGTATATACTTTATGGGGTCGGAGAATCTTCCTTTTGCCTGTTACATACATTTGTACAAATACGAAATAGCATTTTTACATATAATACAATAATATTATAATTAATACAATTAGATTTTGGCAATGAATCTTTGTATATTGTGAATAATACAAAACCGATAATAAAATAAAGATTGAGAGTTATCGCAACTTAAAGTTCTGCAGCCACGATGAGTGCATTAACTGCATGTTATAGATACATGTGTATCTTATGAATATGTATTCACTATCTACTGCGAGGTTGGCGGGGCGAGGGTCGGTAGCGGGCAGATACATGCTGTGCTCAGGAGAAGTAAATAAACAAACAGCCAGCACGTTATACCAATTAAGAGGATCCCCTAGCGGACTTGAATGTTAATGCAAAATTTATGCAAATTAAATGATTTGTAATATGCTGGACTGCTCCTCGGAAATGCAGATGTTGCCTGCCTGATGTTGACATCCTATCCCTCGGCCAGCCACACCCCTTGCCGCAAAGTTGCTTTTGCCGGCTAATTAGTTAGAAGGAAGTTCGCTTGTTGGTTTAACTTCACTTCATTCGACTAGGCGCTTTTGTTACCCCATTTGAGCAATTTCAAATTGGCAGAGTGCGCAAACTATACGCGGAGAGTGGAATATACATCTATATGTAGCATTTGCCATGGCAGCCGTCTCATGCTGCGTTGTTGCTCTTTGAATCTTGGCCAGCTAATTAATTTGTACTTTTGCTTTTTACCTCAACTCTGCACCGGTAAAAGCTGTACAGAGCGACCCCGCGATTCCCCCACATGTGCACGTATGCGGTGTACGCTGGTTTTGTAGTTTTCTCAGTTAATGCCTCAAATATGTTAACAAGATACTTTACAATATGCCATAAAAAAGGCGAACCGACATGCCAGGCAAGAAGGGCCCCGAATACAAACTCGGAACAGTCAGCGGATTTCTGAGTTCTGTTTACATAGGTTTCCTCAGCTTTGGGCTAACCTACCTACGCCCTTGTTTCTTTTCGGTACCGAAATGGCTGACAATACATATGTTGCACCCACCCACGCACTCACACTCACACACACACACACACACACACACTCATGGAGGATCTGATGAGTGAGTGCGTGCCTACTCAGATGTGTTGTAAAATTATGCATTAGTTTTATGCCGTTTTGTGGCATATTAAAATCTCCTTAATTACGAAATGTAATCAACAAAGGTTCGCTGCACACTTTTCCTTCTTGGCTTTTGGCTCAAAGCGTTTTTCGTGATCCCCAATTATGTGTGTGTTGTTTACATTTTTTGTTGCCCATGATGTTGTTTTTGGTTCGAGCCATTTACGTGACAACCAGCAGAGGCAAGAAAAGTCTTAGTAAACGAAATCCTAGTCCGACATTTTTCACTTTGCTCAATGTTTGCCTTTGGCCCAAATATGTGCCATGTACCTACGAGTACAAAAAATACTCATCCATTAAATGAATGTGCACACGAGCCTTGTGTACATACGTACCTAGGTATATGCAGGTCCTTAAATTGTTTTCAACGAAAAATTTTGTTTTATGTTAATTCTATAATTATTAAAAATCACGACTTGCTATATTCCTAATTGAGCAAAAAATTTATTGAAAGTAGATAACGCATATTTCAATTAAAACGCAGTTTAATAATGACAAATTTGCAGAGAAAAATTTGTTTGAACCATTTAGATGGGATGTTTCATTGTTTGTACTGCAGCACACTCATGCTGTATTTCATATCGTGTTATACATGCACTATGCGCAACATTTTGCTGTACAAATCAACGTAATAAAACACATGTCTAAAAATTGGAAGCACCCACGGCATTCGACGTTTTATTTACAGTGCCCCCCACAACCATAAAATGTGAGAATCAAACATTTTAGGTTATAAAAAATATACTTAATGCTTTCAATAGTCAAGCGAAATGAGGATTTATGTTATTTCGAGTTGTGGCTCAAATTTTTGGTGGTGTAGATATGGTATATTCGCTTTATAGTAAATTGAACTTTAATCAAATCTTTTTTTTGTTTCATTGGACTGACTACAGGGCATCCTCGAGTGAAGCACTCTCGAGTTTCACATTTTTTATTTCTATTTTTTTGGCGGAATGCGTAGCATAAACTTTTTTAAATAAACGTTCATCACATTTCGAGTATCATTCTGCGAGTTGAATATTTGTGAATTTAAAAACTGTGGGCTTAAAAGTTTTACGGGTTGTTTTAACTTATATATAAATGATAAGACGTACGAATACATTTTAATTGAGTACTTAGTTGAATGACAATATTCATTACTAGTTACAGTAGCATTCGCAATTCGATTTTCATGATATTTAATTTGCAATAAAGTAAAAAGAAAAGCAAACGTTCAATAATTGATTGGTAATTACTTGTTATTGACCAGGTTTACACTCTCTCACTCTCACTCTCGCTCTCTCTAGCTCTCTCTCTCTCTTTCTTTTGTCGTGTGCATAGTTTAAATACGAATTGAATTTTATATGCAATCAGCCAGCCCGAATATTCTGTCTTTCCTGAAGAGAATACATACATAAATTAGCCCATTCATGACCCAAAGGCAATGTCGCGCAATCGGCCTCGTTTATGGAGCTTTAATTGCGTCGAATTGTCTGGGCTAAGTACGTTTTGGTGTTATCAGCGCCATTAATAATGAACACAATATGGCGGCTTCGACTCGCCGTGTATTCATAAAAAATATAAGTATATATATATATTATACATGTATAAATTGAGCTGAATGAAGTTAACGCTAAAAAGTGCATTATTTATACAATTATGTGTGAAGATAATACCTCTTTTATGATGCCAAGTTCTCGTGGGCCGAGCACGAGCAGGGTCGCCGTCACGTGAATGGATTCGCCCCGGTTGGGGAAGACGCCCAGGTAGAGGGGGTGGCATAGAGGCATTACGTTTGCCTGTTGGCTGTTGGCAGTTGGTAGTTGGCTGCAACAAAAGCCTATTATTCTGCACGTAATAAACATAAAGTTGGCGCAATTTGTAACATAAATTTAAAGGGCTAACGTAAATCTTAGCGGCAATTATGTGTTTGGCGAACGCGGCGTATACGCAACGCAACGCAACGCAGCGCTGCCCGGGTTCATAACTCATGCGCTTCATTTCCAGGCTGGCAGGCCAGGCCCTACTTTCACAAACACAAATGCCAACAGCAACACCAGCAATAATATAGAAGGCGAAGCCTGCGAAAGGAATTCAAATAGCCATAATTTATCACGTTGAGATTGCAGCTTCGCTACGCACGCAGACGAGCAGCAGATGACTCGTCGCGTTTGTATTATGTCTGTAGGTCGCCCCTGGGTTCAGGTTCGGGTTCGTGTTCGGATTCAGATGTGGGTGGCATCCAACCCTTTAGAATGCGAAGGGATTAGTCCATCCCCTAAACTACAGAGCGTAAGGAGCCTGTGCCAAGGGAGGGACGCTAAACGCAATTAGGCATGCGACCGCGGCCGTGGGCGTGGGTCTGGTCCTCGGCTTGGGCCTCAGTTTTATTGGGATTTATGATTTTCTTTTTAATCAGATTTATCTTAATGTCTGCGATAAAGGTAAAATAAATCGCAAAGATTTATTAGCGCTAATTTCCCTTAATGCTTAGTTGAATAAGAATGGCAATCGAAGAAGGGTACATTTAAGAATGACACAAACAAATTTATCTATTTAGCTGCTCAAACAGTTGACCTTAAACGGTTAAAAATAAGAAAAATTCACAGTTTCATATAAAGTTATAATTAAGCTCGGAAAAGTGAGGAGAATTTTTAAAAATTGTTTAATACAACCTTTTTTTTTAGTTACATGTTTATTTTCAAAGACTTTTGTGTCCATTTAATAGTAACTAATGGGCTCTTATTGCACGTCGGCATGTATAGTACCTGCTCTTCAAAAAGTGTTTTAGCCGGGAGCATCAAGGGTAAAATTGTAGTAAATTTAACAAAAATAGCGCGACAAGAATCTCATCAAATGTATATTCTGCAATTACGTACGTAAAATCACAGACAAGATTGAATTAGTGAGAATCGCGTAGTAAAGCAATATTTACAAATACGATTTTTGTCCATTTTAAATATTTAAATTCAAATATACATGCCTGTATTCAATTACATACTAACAAACAAGCAAAAAAAAAACATAGTTGTCAATTTTTTTTTTAACAGTCTAAGGTAAAAGACTTAACAAATAAAACAGAGCAAGATGAGAAGATATTGATTACTACTCCACTTTAGAGAAATAAAGCAATTGTCCGAAAGTTTATATTTTCCATAAGTCAAAGTGAATTTGAAGCTCATCGAATAGTAAGCAAAAATTGCACACAAACGTTTATCGCGATTTTTTCCACTGGTGGGTGCACCTCCACCATTTCAGATTCCTATCTCATAGGACTTGGGCTGTGCGTTGCGTGTCTTATAAAATGCAGCTGGATGTTAATATGCCATCGAAGAGAAAAACTTGTCCTCAAGAAACTTAAATGCCCATCCGTTAAAGGCACAGGGTGTTAAAAGAAACAAATCCGCCCACGGCAGGAAGAGTTCCCGTTGCTCGACATAAAGCGTTGACAGCAGCAGCGACACACAAAGCGCTCGCAGCATCAGCATCAACATCAGCGTCGGCATCAGCATCAGCATCAGGAGAAACAACAGCAACAGGAC